AGAACGCCTTTTGCGAGCATCAGGAAATGGAATTAGAGGGCTCTCCAATCGCGGAGATGTCTTCTTACGTACATCCCGCGCGTTGGGAGAACGATCTGAAAGAAGAACCAAACAGGAGGCAGAGCAGCTTGGGCCGCCTTCGGGCCTCTAAAGGAAGCCACAGAACAGCCGACGGACCTAGAACTCCGAGCCCACATTTTCGAATCGACTGTTCTCCCTGCGCTCTGTTACGCAGCAGAGATGTGGCCTGACACTGCGGCTACGTCAAAGACTTTTTGGACAACCCACACAGCGCTGGAGCGACGTCTTCTAAAGTACAACCGACGTACTCAACATCTCTTCGGACTTCGAGTTCAAATATGAGATCTTCTAAAGTACAACCGAGGTACTCAACAACTCGTCGGACTTCGCAGGTCAGATATGAGATCAATGTCTCGTCTTCGCGATTCTGCGGATACGTCTTTAAGGCAAAGCATCGATAGACTAGTCACATAATGAGAAAAACAGACGACAAATGGACACTAAGAACTCTGGATTGGATTCCTCGCGAAGCAAAACGTCGTCGAGGGAGGCCACCGACCAAATGGGTTGACGTGTTCATTGCACGGGTGGACCAGCTGAACTCTCAGCTGGTAACGAGCAATGGATCTGGACCTCGCAAACGTCGCCGCCGCAGTTCAATACCAACATCGGACGCTAGCGAGAGATAGAAGCGGATGGAAACAGTGCTGTGGCCTGCACGACAAGTGAAGACAGGCCATCTAAGTAAGTGAGTATATCGACCAAAAGGCTACTGCGACAAGCAGTTATGAATACGCATTAACAAGAGATGTTGATTCGCCCATGGGGCTATATGAAAGGGCTAATCGTTACAAATGTGTTGTTAACATACCTCAGATCTCCCTAGTAGTGGGAGCCCTAGTGTCTAGATGGAGGGTGCGCAGGAAATTTCTAACGCCTTTCTGCGTCTCCCTTGGCAGGTACCAATATCTTAGGCAGTCCTGCTGCATTTTATCACTCATCATCAGCATCATGCATTCTAGAACCTAGGAGATATGGAGGGAGAACTTGAAAAAAACAGCGTTGGACCTATAATCCGATGAATTTAGGAAAATCAATGATCAACCTTTGAATTTATTATGAATTATTGTAACTTCTTATAAAAGGATGCTTTTTTAAGCGCTTTTTTAAACAAAATTTATGATAAAATAAGATTCATAATAAATAAATATAAAATATTAAAATGAACTAAATAAAGTTAAAATGAATTTCTAAGAATGTTCATTTCATACAAGTGCCCGCTATGTCCTTGTCAGTATGGGAGCAAAAGCCATAAGTCTGGCTCACTGCTTAAGTAGGAAAGACGGCAAAGTTTTTGGGAGCTCTTAACTCTTTCTAACCGTGCTGCAGGAAATAAATCTCCTTTGATTTTTAAAGGATAATAAATTACTAAACATATGCTAACCTCTGTCGTAGCCGAGAATGGCCGAAGCATATAAGCGGAAGTGAAGATGATATAATAGATGCAGAATGACACCAGCGAACGCAGCCAGCTGTAATTTTAATGAGTTGATAAAGTTTACGAGTTTTCGAAATTTCTCTTTATTTTGAAAGGGTTTGAAGACGCACTGATGTTTTCCATAAGCTTTCCATTTCTCGTTGAGAATGTTTTCCAGAATTCCATCCAAGAGTTCGAGATGTTCTGAAGTTTTCTGAAGCATATTATTTAATCTTGTTGATCAAGGGACGGCAGAAAGGTGGTATACGGATTCTAATAAACTTACACCGTAAACTACCAGCGATAAAGCCGATTCTTCGTTCATCTCTCCAGTAACTTCATTGATTGTGTCAATCTTTGTTAAAGGATACGCTGAACAGCTGGCTCCTCCATAAACCCATACGCTCTGGCCTTCTAACTCCAATACCATGTCAAATATCTAG